TCTCCTCTCTCATTCTCTGCCAGATCATGAAAGCCTGGAGTGCCTAAGAAATTTCATGTTTATTGTGAAGGCAATGGGAACTGAATGAAGCGTTTGGATTTGGAGCCAGGGATTGACATATTCAGAGCATTGATTCAGGGTAATTAATTTGGCAACACTGTATCTGTCCTGAAGGCTATTGTACTCATCCAGATGAGAGGTGATGATAGCGTGAACAAAGCCAATGATAGCGCAAATGAAGCAGAAGGAGCAGATGCAGGACTTATTGCAGTGAGAAAAGTGGAACAGTTTAGCAACCAATGGGATGTGAGAATTGAGGGAGGCAAAGGATTGCAAGTGACTGAGAAAGGGACTGGGAGGATGATGGCCCATAACACCATGAATGGATGAGAAGAAGAATAGGTCTTAAGGTGAAAGGGGCATGATTCTTTTGGCATTACAGGTTAAAAAAAAATAGTTCCTGGCCAGGCACGGTGGCTCATGCCTGTAATCCCAGCACTTTGGGAGGCTGAGGCAGGCGGATTATGAGGTCAAGAGATCAAGACCATCGTGGCCAACATGGAGAAACCCTGTCTCTACTAAAAATACAAAAATTAACTGGGTGTGGTGGTGCATGCCTGCAGTCCCAGCTACTAGGGAGGCTAAGGCAGGAGAATTGCTTGAACTGGGAGGTGGAGGTTGCAGTGAGCTGAGATCACGCCATTGCACTCCAGCCTGGCACCTGGTGACAGAACGAGATTCTTGTCTCAAAAATATATATATATATAGTTCCTACTGGTTCTTTGCAGAGTGACTCTTCTTTCTGCTTTCCCAACCCTCTCCAACTTTACAGTTGCAGATTAGTCCTCACCTCTTCTATGAAGAATTTACTAGGCCAGGCATGGTGGCGCATACCTGTAATCTCAGCACTTTGAGAGACCAAGGCAGGTGGATCACTTGAGTCCAGGTGTTTGAGACCAGCCTGGCCAACACAGTGAATCTCTCTGTCTCTACTAAAAATATAAAAAATTATCTGGGTGTGGTGGCACATGCCTGTATTCCCAGCTACTTGGGAAGCTGAGGCATAAGTTGAGGCATAAGAATTATTTGAACCTGGGAGACAGAGGTTGCAGTGAGCCAAGATTATGCCACTGCACTCCAGCCTGGGTGACAGAGTAAGACTCTGCCTCAAAAAAGAAAAAAAAAAGAGTTTACTAAACAACTCTTTTCTTTTTCAAAACAGTTTAGCCCTACATCATTAGGACTTACATTTTTTTAGAGTTTGGAGGTGACTTTGGGAGTCCTGTGAACCTTTTTCCAATAGCCCCCAAAGTGGCCACCCGTTCTCTGCTTGAATTCTGGTGACAGAGTGCTCAAATTTGAAGAGAAGCTGAACTCAGCCGGGGACTTACCAAGTTCTTTGCTTAGGAAAGGCCTCCATGAAGAATCAGATTTGCATCCCCAGGGCATTCCACCTATTGACAGAAGTGCTGCCTCCTCATGCTTCCCACTCCAAATCTAACTCCTTTTTTTTAATCTTTTTTTTTTTTTTTTTGATGGAGTCTTGTGATATCACCCAGGCTAGAGTGCAATGGCACAACCTCAGCTCATTGCAAACTCCACCTCCCGGGTTCAAGTGATTCTCCTGCCTCAGCCTCCCCAGTAACTGGGATTACAGGAGTGCACCACTACGCCTAGTAAATTTTTTGTATTTTTAGTAGAGAAAGGGTTTCGCCATGTTGGGCAGGCTGTACTCAAACTCCTGACCTCAAGTGATCCACCTGCCTCGGCCTCCCAAAGTGCTGGAATTACAGGAATGTCCCTCCTGGTCCAATGAGCTGTATCCAGCAGGTTACAATCCTATAGCACAAATATGGCTGCCGGAAGCCTGGGTGGCAAGGAGTGGCATGCCAGGGAACAAGGAACAGCAGTTCTCAGAAAAAGTAGGCTGTTGTGTGTCAGGCATATCTTCAAAAATTGTCCACTACAACCTGTGTGGCAGGAGTTCAGATTCCCATTTGTTACTCATGAATCAGTTGAAGATTAAGGGGGTTAAACAGCTTGTTTCAGGCTACATGTAAGTGTGAGAGGTAAGATTCAAACACAGCCTATCCAATTCCTCAGCCTTGCTTTATTATAACTTGCTGTCAGGGGAGGGTGGCCAGGGCAGTTTAAGGAATGTGTTATGTGGCAGATTGTTTTTTCCAAAAAGGACTCCCGCCCCACATGCTGTTCTTAAAATATAACTTTGATATTTCCACTATTGAGATAAAGGGTCTATGGTCCTCCCTTTGAATCTGGGATGCCTTGTGACCAGGCCAGAAGTGGTACTATAGGACTTCTGGGATTAGGCCATAGGATATTATATAGCTTCCATAGATACTCTTGAAATACTCACTCTTGAAACCCAGCCACCAGGCTGGAAGGAAGCCCAAGCCTACCCCTGCAGAAAGACCATGCAGAGAAATCTTGAGACAACTGAGAGACAGAGATAGAGATAGAGATGATGATGATGATGATGATGATAGAGAGAGAAAGAGAAAGAGGCCTGGCCAGCTCCATCTCTCCAGCCCCACACTGTCCCAGCTCCAGCCACCATCTGACCGAGATCTCATGAAAGAACCACAGTTAGAACTTCCCATAGAGCCCTTTTCACATTCTTGACCCACAGAAACAAGGAGAGATGATATGATTGTTGTATTTAAAATTTTTATTTTAATTAATTTATTTTTGAGACAGAGTTTCACTCTGTTTCCCAGGCTGGAGTGCAGCGATGCAATGTCAGCTCACTGAAACCTCGACCTCCCAGGTTCAACTGATTCACCCACCTCAGCCTCCTGAGTATCTGGGACTACAGGCACACACCACTAGACTGTTGTTTTAAGCCACTACATTTTGGGGGATGGGATTTACTACAACAGTAGCCAGAACAGCATGTTCTGGGGGAATGGAAGTCTTCAGAAGGACATGAGAGCCAGCCTCAAGTACCTGAGGGGCTTCAGTAGAGCAGAAGATAGATTTGGAGGCTGGGAGTGGTGGCCTGCCTTGCTGTGCCAACCACACTTAGATTAGAATCTGGTACTTGGTAAGGGTTAAATAAGCATCTGATGGTATCACCGTCACCATCATCATCACTACATTTGTTATTTGCTGATCCAGAACTCCCTTCATTGAGCATAAATTACCCAATATTATTCAGTAGATGTGACCCTATCATATTTCTTAAGTGCCCAAGGCATGCCTCAACATGAAATGAAAAGCAGTCCTTAAAATAATCTCCACGAGAATAAGCCTCCCTCAACATATCAGTGTCCAATTAGATCTCCCTGGAGCCCCTTAGAAGTACAAATTACTGGCCGGTGCAGTGGCTCACACCTGTAATCCCAGCACTTTGGGAGGCCAAGGCAGGCAGATCACATGAAGGTGATCAAGATCAGCCTGACCAACATGGTGAAACCCCATCTCAACTAAAAATTCAAAAATTAGTTGGGCATGGTGGCGCATGCCTGTAGTCCCAGCTACTTGGGAGGCTGAGGCAGGAGAATGGCTTGAACCCGGGAGGCAGAGGTTGCAGTGAGCTGAGATTGCACCATTGCACTCCAGCCTGGGCAACAAGAGGGAAACTCCATCTTAAAATAAATAATATATATATAAAAGAAGTACTAATTACCCAATTGGGGCCACAGATGGAACCTCTTGTCCTGATGCAATTGGCTCTTCAGGCTAATTTACTAGGAAGGGGGTGAACACCTAAAAGAAGGCACCAGAAGGCTATGGAGGAGATTTGGGGAATTCCAAACCTCACACTTTGTCAAATAAAAATTTGCCAACTAAAAAGTATTGTCAGGCGCGGTGGCTCACACCTGTAATCCCAGCACTTTGGGAGGCCGAGGCTGTCAGATCACCTGAGGTCAGGAGTTCACGACCAGCCTGCCCAACGTGGAGAAACCTCGTCTCTACTAAATATACAAAATTAGCTGGGCGTGGTGGTGCATGCCTGTAATCCCAGCTACTTGGGAGGCTGAGGCAGGAGAATCACTTGAACCTGGGAGGTGGAGGTTGCAGTGAGCTGAGATCACGCCATTGCAGTCCAGCCTGGGCAACAAGAGTAAAACTCCACTAAAAAAAAAAAAAAAATTAAAGTGAACACAGAGGAAAGCAGAACAGAGAATATGGAGAAAGATTTATGAATGACACTATGAGATTCGGATTCCTTGGCCTGTTCACTTGTGTGAGCTAAATTCCTTTTCTTCTTTATTAAAAGAAGATTGATTGATTCGTTACTAATTGTAACTAAAAAAAGCCTATTTAATAGTACTGAAAATGACTATTCGTGAAATTTAGGGAATTAATATTGACTAGCAAACCATGTTAAGGAAAAAAAAAAAATTAAGTAGTTATTCATCGAAGAAGGAGTTACAGACTGTAGACCAGGAATTTTAACTGGTCGGACCTCTTCAGGAGAATCTGGAACTTTCCAATTCACCTATGTTTGTGATTTTTTTCTTTTCCCTGCTTATTTAACTAAAGTGATCAGAAAAAGAAGAAAAAAGAAAAAGCTAAGAGGATTTGAGGACTTTTCTATCATGACAACAGGGAAGTTTGGGATGCTGGACAGTGTCCCATTTTGGAGTCAGCGAGGAGAAGCTGAGTGTGGGCCCACTGCATATAGGTAAAGGCCCATCAAAGAGCTGGCCCAGCCTGGCTAGAGACCCTGGACCGGGGCTGAGCTATGGAAAGATGGGTAAGGCTTCCTTGACAGAGCACTCTGGCCCAGCCATCAGCCATCCCTACAACGCCCACAGATCACCAGATGCCAACGAATACAGCCACACATACTAGTCACTAAGACGGCCCTGGTCTGTGTTCCTTTGTCAGTAAGAGCTTGTTAGCACAGCTTTCCTCTAGAAACTGGAAACACCATGGGTTCTGAGGAACTGGCAGACAACTGATCGATAACAAACATCCCAATGACTCTGGAATCATCTCATTTCAGATGTAAGACTAAGTTCCAAAACTATTTCAGTCAGAAGTAGCAAATCAGGCTGCCAGGCTGATCTAAAAATTGCTAATGTCTTAAGTCTGCAGAGAATCAAAGGATAATCATAGAACAGGCAAACACTTTTAAATAAGAGGCTTCCTATAAATCTAGTTTAACAA